GGTGGTGGTGGTGGTGGTGGTGGGAAATTTGCGCGTGAAGTCTGGTTCGGTTACGAGAGCCCCAAGACACGACGAGGCGAGTGACTTCTGTAAGATGGATTGGGTCGGCCAAACGCTTCCGAAGCAGAAAAGCGTATAGGAAGCTTAGCAAACTGTTGCCGCAAGCGCGCTCGCCAGGCCGGTGTCCTCTGAAGCGCGCCTGCTCAAGACTCGGTCCACACACTGCCAATCGGTGATCAGATGCAGTAGATGTTCTAACTCATGAAATGTCAACCAAAATTTCGAAATGCGTTCTCGTTTCGAAAAGATAAATTAAGTAGTGTTGTAAAACTGATCATGATGCAGCATAAATCTATAATGATTCAGTTTCCTCAGGGTGTCGGCTTTCGAAAGAACTTATTTTCGGCTTAATGCAAGATCTATACTCTGCAAAAATGCCTACTTAATTAGCATGAAATTTTCTCATTGATTTTCGATGCCCTTGAAAATTCAATTATTTTTCATGGAAAACATGCATAAAAATATTCATTCCTTTACTTATTCGGTAGAAAATCACGTCTTCTTCCAATTTCATACTCAAAAGAAGAGTATAATTCGGTTTTAAAAATGTTTCCAATTGTGAGATTTTTTTAATACCGTTAAATGGCCGTTCATGAAATATCATGTATCTGCATTTACGAATGTGACTTGTAAAGTTAACAATATTGCTCAAATACACTGCTTACTTTTATGAACCTCATATGGTCTCCTCTTAACACTGTAGAGAAATGCATGGTTTTCCGTACACGGAAAATATACAGCTGGTAGTTTTGAAACCCTGAATGCAAGTGTAACAGCAGGTCGGGTTCAAAATTATTCGGGAATTAGAAAAGTTTTTTAAAACCGAATTATACTCTTCTTTTGAGTATGAAATTGGAAGAAGACGTGATTTTCTACCGAATAAGTAAAAGAATGGATATTTTGATGCATGTTTTCCATGAAATATAATTGAATTTTTAAGGGCATCGAAAATCAATGAGAAAATTGCATACTAATTATGTAGTCATTTTTGCAGAGCATGAATCTTGCACGCAGGTGAAAATAAGTTGTTTCGAAAACCTACACCCTGAGGTAACTGGGTCATTATAGATTTATGCTGTATC